CCACCCCAAAAACCCTCTTTCAGGAAAAGCCAACTTTCTCTTTATCCAGTATACCTTTTTTTCCTCGTAAGATTTTGCATATGGTAGAAATTTCCTATTAATAAGTGAATAAACAAAGTGATATACTTATCTCAAGGGACTCTGAGTTGTAAAAGAAATGTCAAGTTCACGCACAAAATGCTCCACCTAGCAGGGGCACCTACACCAGAGAGTTGCACTCATAAGTCATAAGCAGCTAAGAGCCAACAAGAGGGAAAAGACAATAAATGATTGGAAAAAAAACACTAAAATGAAATTTACGATTCTAAGAAGTTAGTAATGTGACTGTAGTGAGGTAATAAATTGTTTGGTTGTTGATAAAGGATGATAAATTGTTTGATCATTAATAAAGGGCCATGAAATGTTTAATTCTTCCTATTTCTTTAACACTAGTAGCTATAAATCAAGTATACAATATGAAAGAGGTATATAACTTAGGTGTGATATTGAGAAGCTATGTTTCTAGTTTAAATTTGGTCACAATTTTATATTTGATCTCTTAGAGGAACTCTAGCAGTTGCATTTTGTCCCATGGGTATATAATGTTTAATGGGCAAGGAATTGTTTGATTAGTAGTAAAGGGCCATAAATGTTTAACCTTCTTATTCTTTTAACTTTGGTAGCTAAACATCTAGTAAAACTTTGGTAACTAAACATCTAGTAAAAAATGTTGAAGTGGAATCTAAGAGTGATATTAAGAAGCTATGTTTTCTGGTTTACATTGGTTGCAGTTTTATACTCGATCTCTCTCTAGCAGTGGTCGTTTTACATTGGTGAGTGGAACAAATAACAAATAATTACACAGTAAACCTAACTTGCTCCAGCAACCACTAATCTTGCCCATTTAATTTTTTTCAAACACAACGTTTGCAATCCATTCAAAGAAAAATTGTGGTCAATTAAAGCTCTCAGTGTCTTGACCAAGGACGGAAAAATGAGATTCAGAAAATTAATACTCAAAACTCATCTAATGAGATTCAGAAAATAAGCACACTCTAGCGTCAAAATTAATTAATAAGAAGTTTAAAAGTTAACTTCTTAAAAATTAGTGGATTGTGATAGATTGAAATAGGATTTGTGTAAGTACCTTCTCAATTTCTATCAACCAAACAGTTCTAGCTCTGTAGTATATGAAAAACGATTTTTCATTGTCTGGAGTCTTGCTTATTTTTTTATTGTTTCTCTAATGTCCTTTTCATTTTGGTTGTACAGTGAAATATGGTTGCTTTTGGAAAGAAGTTGAAGGAAAGACAGATCCAAGAATGGTAAGGGTATGCTAATATTCCATTATAGACCTAGTTGTTGTATACTTTCTTTCATTTAAACTTGCTGGAAACTAGACCATGCATTTTCTTTTGGTGGTTAATGTTTGACTACGGAGGATAATTTTCATGAAAGCATGTCAACTGCTTTTCAACCTTACTATATTTGAGAGTATCATTTCCACTTTTTCAGTGCTTATACAGCTTAAACGAGTGACATCTAGAGAAACTGTAATATCTATTGTATTATAGTTGAGCAGAAACTCTGTTAAGAGGAAAAAAAATAACAGTTAAACCATTGGCATCAAACATAAATAAATCTAGCACTCAGTTAACAGTACTTCTAAAATATTAAGTTTGTTGTCATGGAAAGACTCTAAGAAAAAATAAAAAGACTAACTTTTATGATTACTTATTGCAAAACAATCAGCATCTACAGAAATTTGAGTTACACAGTCATATCTAGTTGTGAAAACATAATACACCAAAATATGGTGCCCAAATCACTGGTTTCAAAAGCACTAACTTGATAGCACCTCTACTTAATACACAAGTCCAGTTGTTGCAATATTATACAATAAAATTCAACTAGGTAAATATGCAAAAAAGAGAAAAATAATTAAGAGACAACTGTAAAAGTACCCCAGACGACTCTTCTAACCGAATTAAAACTCTATCAGCTTGAGGCACAACCTAAATTCAAAACAAACAAAATAAGTATGCAAGCTACCATTTCTTAATATTCCTACTTCAGATGTAACACATAACAAAATTATTCACATTGACTTAAATAAGCATAAAAGCAGTCACCTTTGTGGGTTCCCATTTCTTGGAAATTGCATTAAGAAAAACTCACATGAAGTACTTTCTTCCACGGTACTGGTTTATAGTTCGAAAACTTAATAATTAATGATTTTTGAAGGAAGCCCCTATAGTTATTAATAATAGAGTAAAAAAGTTACGACTCTTTCAAGTATGCAGTTACTCTGGTGTAGCTTAATATATTATCTCAGACAACAACAAGGCATACAACATACATCTTAGTTGAGAATATTCAGTTCTCCAATCGGAAACTGCGAAAACATGATAAAACACAAAGTAGTCATTTTTCCAACCCTCTTACATGACAGAGTTATGTTTAAAAATGACTCTTCATCGACATATCATTTCTTCTGTGCTGGTTGCGAATATTGTAAAAATGAGATAGAGAAATTTGTTAGGAGTTCAATTAGCCTATTATTAAACTCATAGAAGATGGATTTTCAGCTAAACTATTTTCTCAGCAGATCAAAACTAAACATATAGGCCACTTTAGAGAAGCCATTCTCTATGTACCACAGAATTGAAAGCATTAGTTAAAAGTGTGACAGCAAGCCATATCTAGGAATCCAAACTATGGAAGTTTCAATGCTATTAAACACAGAACCCAAAAGACTACAGCATGAATTAAGAACCTTTTTGCCAAGAACTAAAAAAAATACAGTAAAAATGTATATCAATGGTAACAAAAATAGTAAAAATGACCAAAAGAATTAAGAAAATTACCAGGCTATGGTGATTTTGGGCTTCTCTGGTTCGAGCACAAATCTGATTTTAGAATTTGTGGATTTGGGGAAGGCTAGCAACTGTCCTTGAAGAAGTACCAGAGAAGTGCCGGAACTGTTTAGAATTTGGGGATTTGGGGTTTTGAGATTTGATGATTATGGTGGTCTAATGAAGAGGTATTTGATGACACTTGGCCATTAATTTGATGAGGAGCAAGGCTAGAATTTCTATACCGTTGTTTGTGAATCTTAGGCTTGATACAATCATTGGTCCTTTCCCGCAAGTTCTGGAAAATGGAGAGAAACCAGTATATAAACAAGTTCTGTTTTCCGACTATCGGGATTATTTTTGCTAAAAAAAGAGATTAGAGAGGGGAGTTTGGGTGTATCAACAATGGGAGCTGAGTTAGGATGTATCGATTATGGGGGATATAGTACTAGAGATACACTGGAGGTGGAGGGGTTTATTGTATTTACGTTATTAAAATTAATTAAAAAATATAAAATGACCGATCACTTAATTAGTTTGGCGGGCCAGCAAATTTTCGGTGAAAAAATGAGAGGGAATGACTAACAGTTCCCATAACTTCCCCCACAATCGTTCCCATATACATGTCTATTGTGACGGTTTACAAATCCGTTGCAAAACAAATCTCTATGGCAATGGTTTTGTTACAATTGCAACGGTTTGATGTTTAAAGCTTGTTGATACCACCCAATTCTATTGTAACGGTTTCAACCGTTACTGTATCTGCTCTATGGCAACGGTTCACAAACCGTTGACAAAATAATTGTTCCCAGAGGCCCATTTTCTGGTAGTGGTGTGAGCCCATATTTAAGTTGTTGAAGAAAAATGAGACGATTAGATGGACAGATGAGTGTCAAGAAGCCTTTGACAAAATCAAAGAATATCTATTGAATCCGCCAGTCTTGGTCCCGCCCAAACCTGGAAGGCCTTTGTTTTTGTATTTGACAGTGTTGGAGAATTCTTTTGGATGCGTTCTCGGGCAATATGATTTGACCGGGAAGAAAGAACAGGCAATATACTATTTGAGCAAGAAGTTCACTAGTTATGAAGCCAAATACACTTTGTTGGAAAGAACTTGTTGTGCCTTAACTTGGGTCGCTCAGAAGCTTAGGCATTACTTGTTGGCCTACACCACCTATCTCATCACTAGGTGGATCCTTTGAAGTACATATTCCAAAAGCCGATGCCCACATGGAGGTTAGCCAAATGGCAAATCTTCCTCACTGAGTTCGACATAGTCTATGTCACCTGCACGGCAATGAAATCTCAAGCTTTAGTGGATCACCTAGCTGAAAATCATGTTGATGATAAATACCAACCTTTGAGTACTTACTTTTCGGACGACGAAGTAAACTCAGTTGAGGTAATCTCAGAAGACACCAACGCTTGGAAAATGTTCTTCCATGGAGTTGTGAATGCAAAAGGTGTTAGGATTGGGGCAATTTTGATCTCGCCCACCGGTCAGCACTATCCGGCCACAGCCCGACTTCGATTTTTCTGCACGAACAACACTGCCGAGTATGAAGCCTGCATTATGGTCATGAACATGGAAATCGACCAAGATGTGGAAGAATTGTTAATCATGGGTGGTTCGGACTTGATTATCTGAAAGGCTTAGGGAGAATGGGAAACTCGGGATGTCAAGCTTATTCCATAAAGGCAACATGTGGAAGATCTTAGCAAGCAGTTCAAGTCCGTCGAGTTCAGGTACATTCTTCGGTTTCACAATGAATTAGCTGATGCAATAGCCATTTTGGCCTCGATGTTGCCATATCCGGGAAATGTCCACATTAATCCACTAGAAATCCAAATCTGAGAAAGACATGGTTATTGCAGCGTAGTTGAAATAGATTCTGATGTTCAGCCATGGTATCATAATATCAAAATATTCTTGAAAACAAATGAATATCCCGAGCAAACTAGTGGAGACTAAAAGAGAACCATTAGAAGGCTCCCTGGTGGTTTCTTCTTGAGCGGAGAAGTCTTATACAAAAGAACTCTGGATTTGAACCTTCTCAGATATGTGGATGCCCAAGAGGC